CCGGTCGGTGGAGGGCACTCACGGTCCGCGCTCCGGCCCCGCCGGCCACCGGCACCCCGGGCGGGGCCACCGCGCCCCCCGCACCCAGCGGGGCTGCAGCATCCCCCGCAGCACCCACCGAGCGCTCCGCACCCGCGGGGATCGCTCCGGCTCGCTCAGCGCCCCGAGCCCTCCGCCCTGCCCTGCCCTGCCCTACCTGGGCGGCGGGCGCTGCTCCCGGAGCTCACCCAACACCGGGACAGCGTTTAGGAGCGAGCTAAACGGCACAAACCCCGCTGCCAAGGTCAATTGCATGAGAGTCCTAATTGTGAGCCTGACATCAACTTACCACCCACAGCAAGCAGGAGGAGGCAAAGGTTAGAGCAGCAGCTCTGTCAAAACGTCACGAGCAGCCGAGCCCGGCAAAAGAGCTYCGTCCCCGCTACCAATATAATGTTTCACTTACGCAAAAGGAAAACCAAGCCGGGCATCGCTCCCCTCCGCCCCTGGCACCCTCTGCCCCCTCCCAGGGCTGCAGCACCCCGGGCACGGAGGGGATGCTCCGCACCCCGGGGCTCCCGGCCGGGCCAGCCYGTCCCCGACAGCAGCCTCGGGCAACCCAAATAAATCAAACCTAAAATAAACCACCGCAAAACTTGGGCTTTCCTTGTTCCAGCTTTCCTCGTCCGACACCCTTCTCCGCTTCTGCAGAAGTCAGCACGCAGATCGGAGGTTTAATTAAAGGAAATCTAGGCTAATTTTACCTTGAACAAAAAAAAATGTTGCAGTTTGATACTGTATTTTTAAGAATGAATCCGATTTTTAATGGCAGCAATCCAGCACAATGGGCATTTTCAAGCCCTTTGTGGAAATGCTAATTTTCAGTATGTAGCATTATTCCCCCGTTACCACCTGCTGATTTTTTGACCTGTTAATGGATCCCCAGGTTCGCGGGACRCTTTAACCCGCTGCATTGTTCACAGAGGTGGGTCCCAAATCGCTCTGCTAAAAGAAGGGAACACTTGCAAAAAAGGAGATAAGGGCTTGATTTTATTATTACGATTATGTGTACATCCTCGGTAATGCCCCAGACAAATCTCTCAGGAATTTCGACTTTGTTATGCAGCTTCATCACTCATTATTTACGGGCACACCTGGAGCGGGGAATATCAGGACTATTTGGGCGATTGGCGGGCGGTCMGAGCCATCGGAGCCGCAGCCCTGGGCTGTTTCTGAGAGCGGGGATCCCGCAGGACGGGGCGCAGTGCGGGATCTGCCCCGACCCCCCAAATCCACAGAACCCCACGAGCGGCAGGGAAGCCCCCCCAGGCGGAGCCGCAGCTTCCCCGGGTCCCCCGGCCCGCGCAGCCGCTGCCCRGCTCCCGGAGGGATTTCATCCAGGGTTTGGTTGTTAAAATTGAGAACGGGAGCGGGGGGGAAAAAAAGCCCCAACAACAATAACAAAAAAGCAGCTGGCCATTGCCCCGGAGAGCGCGGTGTGGAGCGATCCTCCCTCCCTCCCCTCCCGCACACCTCCCCCGCCCCAGCGGCCGCATCAGGAGTGATTAACCCTTTTGTTTCAGCGCGGGGCCGGAGGTGCCTTTCCAGCAGCGGGCAGAGATTTACATGTGGAAACATCACCTCCATCCCCCAACCTAACCATATGCACAAAGGAAAACAGTCATGCATTAAACATGGGATTTATTGCCTTCTGGCCAGCATGCTGTTTCTTAAGTCACCATTAACCGGACCCAACAATTGCACATTTCGACTCAAAGAAGAGAGGGGGGAGGAGGAAAAAAAATTAAAAAGCCCGAACCTCCTGCGGGCTGGGAATAAGCAGCTCCCGTAACGTGGAAGGGGTTTTGATCAGTTCTAGGGACGGAAACAAAACCAGTCCTAAACGCAGAGAACCCAAAGAAAGTTTTTGGGGGTCACACAAAACATCGGGCACAACAACCACAACAACTCTGGCCCAACGCTGGCCAGGCCAGCCCTCGCTGCCCGCCCGGGCCGTGCCCTCCTCCGGCCGCGTTCCGCCCGGAGCCGCMCGGGCACCGCCGAGAGCGGGGGAAGAGAAGAGCCCGCAGCCCCCGCASCTCGGGAGATGCTGCTCCGGGAGCCCCGGCCTTTCCCTGCTCCCGGCGGGGCCATTGAGWGCCCCCTCCGCCCTTCCCCTGCACGCCCACAGCACCGGCAGATCGCGGCTCATTTTAGCCAAAATTGCTGCTTTTCCCCGTAGCGCGGCCCAGGAATGCGAGCTCCCCCAAAAAGGGACAGTGATTCGCGGTGGCCAAGTCGCCCACGCCGCCCAAATACAAAGCGCTCACGCACACCCCACATTAGCTCACCGGAGTTATTTTAGGAAGTCGGAAATCAAAGATGGCTGGAGGTCAAGCTACAAAAGGTCCAGGGCGATTGTGATCTCCAACAAAAATAGTCCGAACGTGGAGGTTTTTYCCCCCGTTTTTTCTAAAGCCCCACAAAAATTCTCACATAACTCCCGACAAAGTGCTAAATACATCGAGGAAACCCAACCCGAGCCGTTTCTTACCCCTCCGAAGTTGTTGGAAATCTCCCCCTCTGCTCCCCCACCCATTCACCCCCACCCCCCCAATTCCCTTTGGGGTTCCGCTCCCACGAGGCTGCGGCCCCACGCGGGACCCGGCGGAGGCTCCGCGGGCCCGGGGGGAACGTGCGGGGCATTGCGGGGCCGCGGGCCGGGCAGGGCGAGAGACCCCGGCAGCACCGCGCAGCGCTCCGCAGCCGCGCAAAACCGAGCCCCCCCGAAAAAAATCGAGGGGCCGCTGCCTCGTTCTGCCCCCCAAAAATCCCGGGGGGAGCCGAGGGTCGGCTCCGGGCAGAGCCCGCGGGGGGAAAGGAGCGGGGGGTGAASCACGAGGGAGGAAAAAGCCCCCCGGGAAGCGCCCCTCGCTCCCCGCCGCCGCCTCCGCGCATCAGCCGAGTCGGGACCCGCGGCCGCTCCGCGCCCCCTCTGCGCTCACCACTTGCAGCATCTGGGGGCTGCTCCTCGGAGTTGATGTGCTGGGGCTTCGCCTGCTTCCGTCGCGACATGGTGCACCAGCATCGGGAGCGTGCAATAGTAGCAATTATTTTCCTCTTCACAACAAATTCCTAGAGTTGGGAAATTACCCCCATTGGGCGGAATGCGCATGTCAGAGTAATTATGATTATCAATAATGCATTGCGATTTATCATGGGTCCCTGACGGCTGATTGGCCTGAGTCCAGGGGCTTACAGATTATTCAAATCAGCCCCATTGATCCGCGCAGCGGGGCACGCTGGGCCATGTAGTCCCCGCGCCCGGCCCGCCCCGCCGGGCGACAAAGGCGTGAGCCCCGCGGGTCCAGGGCCACCCCGGGCCACCCCCGAGCCAAGGGGGGAGCCCCGACACCTCCCCGGGTAAACAAACAGCCGGGCAGCGCGGCTCTSCAGCCTGCGCACGGACAATACCTTTGTTGTCTCACCTGCGCTTTTTACATCGTGCTTTGAAAAGAGTTTCGCCYCCCGCCTCCCTAAAGCAAGCAGGAGCCCGGGACAATGCTCATTCTTCCCTCTGTCGCGAGATAAGGTGGCCAAAGGAAGCGCACCGATGGCCGGACGGGGCGAGCCCGGGGTCCCCGGCGGGGTGGGCAACTCGAGGGGCTTTAAAAGCGGATGCAGACGGCGCGTAATTGGGCTGGCATTGCTTCAGCTGTTTAAAGACTCTTTAAAAAAGTCTCTCAGCTTTCTGGGAAGCTGGCAAAGTTGAGCCAGCGGTATTTTTAACAGCGAGTAAAAACGTGAGACACGGAAAAGCTCGTGTGAAAAAGTTGAAGCAGCAGCGCTTTGAAAGTGCTTTCCCACACCGAGTTCACTGAGTCAGTACATAGTGGAATAATTTCCATCTTTACCCCCCTTTTTGGCTGCTGGGGTCCATGGGAACACGAGCCCCATCGGGGTGGCCCCGGGGCCAGGTGGCACCTTGGGGACAGTCCTTGCGGCTGGAGGGGACTGCAGGACCGGGCTCAGCTGAGCCAGGACTGAACTGGGCTRTGAAACCCCCGAGTGGCACAGCAGAGTCACCCCAAACCCTCCCACCCCCGCTGGAGCCACACGAGTCTTGCAGAAGCAAAAATATGAGGAACCTTGGATGTTTGGAAACGTGGATTACAAAATCTTTGTGGGAGACATGATTGCTTTTTGATTTAATGTAAAATAACACACACAGCCCACGTCTATCCATGAAAAATGAAGTGGGTTGCTTGAAAACACTGGAGAGAAATATTTATTTGATGAAGAGATGATTTTATTAATATGGAGGAGGAGGACACGGGGTGAGGGTTCWGGAGAATTGGGTTCAGCTGAAGGCAGACTCAAGATGCACTTGCCATTGCAGTCACCAGCAAACAATGAACAGSRGCTGTGCCTCAGTTTCCTGCCTGTGAGCTGAGGGTTCCCCAGCTACAGAGTTGCTGTGCTCAGGAACACCCACCCGGGGCTATGGGGCGGGTCGGAAAGGTGATGCTGAGTGGAAACCCAGCAGGAGGGAGGCAGAGATGGCACCAGGSAGCCACAGGACATTGCACAACAGGACGGGCTCATTCCACCTGGTACCTGCTGGCACTTTACCCTGCAAACCCCCTTCGTTTGTACACTTACCCTGTACTAAAACTYGTGCCTGTGCACACCCTTGTGCCACTGCTATTATCGTTTTCATTTTGGTGGTGCTTGATGAGGGGGGATCTCCATGGGACAGGCGTGAAGTATCTTAATGTAGCGGGAGGKAAGCAGTGCAGCCTCAGCAAATTAGTACTGAATCGTCCAGGGGGTTGGTTTTGTTTCCATAGTGTCTCCTAAGGAGGTTTTTTTAGCTAAGGATAACCGAGATCTTGCAGAACAGAAGGCGTCACCCTCCTCCTTGGACAATAATTGAACATGGAGGTCAGGGTAACAAATTTTGGCTTCCAGATCGCTTTCGTCTGCAAGTAAAAAATGGTTTAAATCGCCCCACCCTTGATGCAGTGTAATGGACTCGTTAAGTCAAGAGAAACTTTGTATTTGCTGGTCTAAAATGGAGGAAATTAACGGGTATTTGACATYGCTGCCCATTTTTATCTGGTGTTTACTCCACCCCCATGTTGCCCAAAGAAGCTTCTCTATATTTGTTTGTTTAACCAACAGTTTGAAATGCTCTTTGTTCCCAAAGTGTGTCCCGAGGAAATAGACTGTTAAACAAGATTGATACCAATTGATCCACGGGTAGATATTCACATTGATGCATCCTCTCCTTTTACACTTGATATGCTCAGAGTGACCAACAGATTTTCGGTTATTACCCATAAAGCTCCCAGCCCACACCAATGAATTTATTAAACCACGCTGGTTTGTGTATCCAGCTGAGAGACTGACAGCCCTGTACAGTAGATCCATACCGAAAATAACAACTCCTGTGGAGCATTTGTACTGAATTTAAAGGAATATATTATATGAAATCAATACAAGTTTTTGCTATTGATTTCACAGGACCGGGATTTCACTCAGCGCAGCTCTAACRCTCTGATAAAATAGAATACATGGAAAGCGTTAGTTTGAAATAAAAATTAAAAAGTTGCTGTGTTTAAGGCTGGGAAGACAGCAAAAGTAGGGGAAAGCACAAAGCGAAAAATACAGGGAGGACAAACAAAGCGAAAAATACAGGGAGGAAGAGGAGGAATGTGAGCAAAGCTGTCGTGTTGTGTTTTTCTGGGAAGGTTCTCCCAGCCCGAGGTGGTTATAAATAGGCTGCCCTGGCTGGTTACATCATATGCAAAAGGCATTTTGCTTGGCTTTAGCACGATCATAWGGATTAGCATGATTACAGCTCCTGGATTTGAAAAATAGCAGGCTTCCTTCTCGGGATTGACATTTATTTATTTTTTTAAGGCAAGTCCAGAGGAACAGTCTTGTGCCACCAACAGAGCCGGGGCATTGCTGCCTCTGCTGCTGCTCCGGATAACAGGAGCTTTTCTGACACCGTCCCTTGGAGCACGTGGAGCTCCTGCCACCACAAACATTGCCAGCAGCTCTGCCCAGCCCGGCAAATTCCTGTCCTCGCTGCAAAATGGTTCCATCCATGGCAAAATCAGATCGGGATCTTGGTTAAAGATGTTTTCGTTGTGTTTGTCTCCGTGTGTGCACATACTGACTTCCACCAAGGTGAAGAACATCGTCTTCAATCTCGCATCATCTCCTCTGATCYGCTCAGTTTACTGCTGGGACAACACACAGCTTTAAAACTTACTCTTTTTAAATTCAGAATCYAAATATAACTAAAAATGTCTTTTCCCTTTACACACCTTTATGGCCTGGAGAGCAGGAAAAGAAAAAACACCTTTGAGGCACAGTGGTTCCCTTTCCTCCTCTGTTCCTCCCCTGCTCCTCACTGAATAAATCTCCCAGAGAACTCAGGGCTCACCTCTGCTGTGTGCAAGGCTTGAACATTCCCTGTTGGAACCTGGTGAAGAAGCTCAAAGTTTGCTGATATGAAGTTGCCCACAGCTCTGTAGGCAATGTAAATCAGGGCCATTAACATTCATGGTTGGGCCAGTTAATCAAGATTGRATGCAGAGACGCAGACATTCAAACTCAGAAGCGATTCATAAGGRTGTTAAATTGCACCTTGGCCAGGCYTGTGACTCCTCCAGACTACACTCACCCAGTCCAAAACCAGGAGACTCTTAACCAGCTTTTATAATATTGTAACAATGATCATGGATTGTTCTTCTTCTCCTGTATAACAAAATAAAGATTTTGTTTTCCCTCAGTCCCTCCTTCCATCTTCCTTTTTTTGAAGCTGCTGAGCGCCTCAGTCAAAGCTGATTATAGAGGAGTAGTTTTGAAGATGTGAGCCTGTGCTAATTGTGTGACAAGAAGAGARAAGAGAGCTCTGAATTAATGTAATTGTGAGCAAGAGTTGGGGTTCAGACCTTCCCCACACGGCCCAGCAAGCCAGAGGGCACAGGAGCCAACCTGAGAAGTGGGATGGAGAAAAATCCTTCAGCAGCCCCAGCCTACAACTCAGGGAACACCTTTCCCCTGACCTGGTGGGGCTTTTGGTCCAGCTGCAGATGGTGCAGCCACAGCCCTGCTGGGGAACCTAAACTGTGGGAATTATTGATGCAGCCACAGCCATGCTGAGGAACCTTCCTGGTGGGAATTGTGGATCAGCCACAGCTCTGCTGAGGAACCTAAATTGTGGGAATTATTGATGCAGCCACAGCCCTGCTGGGGAACCTAAATTTTGGGAATTATTGATGCATCCACAGCCCTGATAGGGTGCTTTCCATGCAGGAATCATTGATCCAAACCCGGTGCCACCACCAGCAGCAGACCAGGTCCTGTTTCAGGTGTTTTTGGGGACGATGGCATTGCAGGACACACCTGATCACTGCTCAGCTTCAGGCCAAAATCAGGATCTTCCTTTCCACCCTCGGCTCTCCCATGCAAGGGAAGGGAGAAGGGAGGAATTGTAAAAGTTTCAAAGAGCCACCGAGGAGCTCCCAGGGAGGAGGAATGAGAGGCATGTGGGTCAGGCAGGTAAACAAACAAATCTCTGGGAGTTTGTTAAAATGCCCAAGCGGTTCATCTACGCAGGAGGGAACGTTATCAGCTCTGATTTCTCACAGCGTGAAAAGTGTCCTTGTGCAGTATCTTGTGTTAGAGTCAGATGCAACCTCAAGAAAGACAGGTCCAGCTTTCCCCAAGGATAYGAGTATTTTTAGTATTTTTTGGAATGGGTTACCTGGGTGTTAAGTGAAGAACATTCCCTCTCCTCTGCAATATTTGTTTAATTTCAAACACTTGCTTCTGAATAAACCTGAGATCAGAGGTAGGTGTAACTTGGCTTTGTCTGCTGTCTTCTTTGAATTTCATGGCCCAGTGATACCTCAGGAGGGGAACAGGAATCCTGTGAGATCCTTTCCTCCCAGACAAGGTACACAAACCCTTTTTTTAGCACTGTGCTGCAATGGAGCCCTGGGAGATGTCTCATTATTGTCCCTTTTTCAGCAGTGGGGTGAGGGTGAACCAGGGCTGCTGTGGCCCTGATGAGATCCCTGCATGGTTTGGAATTGGATTATGAACCTTTTTTTTTTTTTTCAGGGAATACCAAGCAATATCTGAATGTGACAGTGAAATATTTCATCAGATGGCAATGAAAATACAACTTAATAGATAGC